AGGTATAGGTTTAAAACTTCTACTTCCTTAGTGGCTATCAATTTTTATTCCAAAAAGTATGCTTTATTTAATTGTTTTCTAATTTTTATAACCCAACATTTGTATTTGAGATTTTTTAAAATTGATGTAATTTTTAATTTAGGGCTTTCATGATTTTAATAAATAGTCGTAAATGTTATTTCTTATTTGTAGCGTATTTTTTTAGAAAACACATAGAGAACAATTGTAATGTAACGTTTATCGTTTTTTTTGTTCTTTTATAAATTATATTGTGCCCCCGTACTTTTAACATTCTGCGTCCGCCCCTGATGATAGTTCAAATGCATGTTTTTTTTTTCTTTTTTTTTTTTTTTTTTTTTGTGTACATGGTCGGGTCGGGTCAGGTCGGGTGTAGGGTAATCGGGTGAAATTCGGGTAAACGGGTAAAAAAAAACCCGAACAAATTTGACCGGAATTATTAATTCGGGTAACCCGATTACCCGACGGGTACCCGATTACCCGACGGGTAAAACCCAACCCGAACCCGGTGATGGGTAACCGGGTAACGGGTCGGGTACGGGTACGGGTTTTTCTTGGCGGGTCGGGTACGGGTATGTCAAAACCCGTACCCGACCCGACCCATTTACATCCCTATAATCGTACTGAATGAGGACACATTTGTGTAACTATTCATAACATGACTTGAGGACACATTTGTGTAACTATTCATAACATGACTTAAGTGCATGCATGGTCAAACTCCTAATGGAATAATTACTGATCAAGATAAAGCAATGCAAGCTGCAATTGAAATAGTTTTTATCCAAATACGAAACATAAATGGAGTCTGCGGTATATTCTGAACAACCTATCCAAAAAATTGGATATCACGTTCAAAAAGCCGCAATATTTTCAGCCATGCATGTACTAGTTTATGATTCACAATAATCAGAAGAATTTGAGGAAGAATTTGAGGAAAGCAGGAGAATAATGATCAAAACATATCAATTATATTAGAATGGTTGGTTATCAAGATTGCTCGGATCAAAACATATCACTTATATTAGAATGGTTGGTTATCAAGATTGCTCGGTAACCACATTCGATGGGTGCCATGTTACTTGAAATTCAGTGCAGAAGTGAAAGTATGAATGCCTTCTTTAATGGTTATGTACATTCAAAGACATTAGAGAAGTGAAAGTATGAATGCCTTCTTTAGTGGTTATGCACATTCAAAGACATTGTTGAAGCAATTCGTTGAACAATACGAACAAGCATTGCGAAATAAGGTCGAGAAAGAAATTCAGGCATATTTACAAATCATTCTCTCAAGTCATACCATGTGCCACGACATATGAAATGGAAAGGTTTTATCAAGTCATTATGTACAATTCCAAAGTTTAAAGAAGTTCAAACTGACTGGGAAAAGTTTACTGTGATCCAATATTTGCAGGAGAGACGCATATGGGGACGAGGTATGATATTTAAGTGTAACCACCATGAATGCATTGAATACTGTATTTTGAGTCCATTCAATTTATTTCATCACTATTTTACCAAAGTTTACACAAAAGATTTTACACAGGCTAGGTAACAGTCCCAAGATATCAATATATATATATATACACACTAAAATGTCACACACCACAAAGGTTAACCACAATATCTGATCACTTATAGGAAAACATCAAACTACAAATCAACTGTTTTTACTTACTGCATTGCTCCAACTGCAAACCAAAAACTTCTCGTAACATTCTTCCAAAAACCATTATCGGCAGGAGAAGGCAGGCTAAAATCGTCCCCATAATCACGAACCACACTGTTAAAACAGTAAAAAAAAAGACGAAAAAAGAAAATGAAAGAGAAAAAAAAAAAAGATTCGGGTGAGGAATGCCGCCAGCCAAGTAATGCTGTAAGCAAACACACAAAAACAATCATTTATAAAAAAGTTTTGTTTGGGTCAGGACTTTGAAGGCCTGTTGCATTTTGCCGGGGCCCATCCAATCCGTCGCCGTTCGTTATCGTAAATCACCAACTTATCTTGCAGTGAAATATCTGTAAAGAATAAGTGTATATGTATATCCTCACAATCATATTGATATTATGATAGATAACCAAGAAACGAAAAATTTGAATGCTAAATATTTTGCATCTATTTGCACATTTTAATTCCTACCTCCAATCAAGTTCATATCGTCTAATCCAACTTCATCGCCGTTCAATATGCCTAAGCAGGCATTCCCTTTTCCCTGAATCAAAGAATGCCATATATCAAATCAAGCTTCATTTCCATGATTTTACTTTTTTCTTTTTTTTGTTCTTTTCTTTTTTCATGGGAGTGTGAACTATAACTGCCCTCTAAAAGAACAGCTAACAACTGATTTTTCTCAACAAATATGGCTCCCGTTGAGGATATAATTTGCAAAGTTGAACATAATCTCAAGGAGTTCTTCGTAATTTGGAAGACAGAAAAAAAAAAAAAAAGTCATTTCATAATTAGTCTTTAAATAAAATTGATTGATATAGAGAAGCGTTACTCACGGTGATGATGAGATAAGATTCAGGGGGCATCTGAAAATGAACATTTTTCTCGTTCGTAAAGCTCAAAACCAAAGGCTTGAAGTAGCTAGCGGCATCCCGAATGGATTTGAAGGGTTTTGGACCTTTCCAACACATGGGAAGGCTTTTGTCCTCAACTGCATCTTTCAATTTTCCATTCAAATTTTCCATTATCTACCAAAAAAAATAAAAATAAAATAAAATAAAAAAATGCAATCTTTATTAGACCCAACATTACAATCGTCCATTTCCAAAACTAACAAACAATAATAAAGATAAAATGAAAAAGAAAAGGAAGAATAAAATAAAGAATAAAATTGAAGGAACCATCATCTCAGCTCACCATAGAGACAATGACTTTATAAGCTTGAGAGACAAAATAAGAGTAAGTGCTTCCACTATCAAAAACTATTTCGAGGCCCTTAATATTTGTAGGCTGACCACCAAATCGGACGTCTGCTGATCCCAAGGAATAGTGCTTTCTGAATGCAAAAACTGGACACTGTAAGCGGCCCAGTTCTTAAAATAAAACCAACTACTTAAAAAAATCATGATAAATTAAATAAATAAAATCAATTCCGTTTGTAATTTGATAGAATTTTTTTTTCTTTTTTTTTTTTACCTCAGAAAAGTAGGTAGACTTTTTTTTTGTTTTTGGTAATTTCTTTCAGAGTTTTTATTATTACAGATAATGAAACTTACAAATGGTGGGTGGAAATCTTTTTCCATGTAATCCCTGATTTAGGAAGAAAGTCATCTCCAAAGAAAAGAAAGCCTCCACCTTGCCCGCTAAAACAGTGACCAACAACATTTCGAGTCACACCTAAGGCTCGTAGCTGGCTTAAGATGTTCGAATTACCGAGCCCGAGACCAAGGACTCCATCAGTGAAAGGCCGATTAGCTGAATCTATAACTTCTTGATTGTAGCCACATCTACATATATGTAATTAAAAAAAAAAAAAAAGTTATTATACCACAGTACCAACAAGTCAAACGAAGCCCTTGAATTTAGTTGTCATCTTTTCGGAAAGGAAGTGGATTTTTTATAGTTGTTTTTCAAATGTCGACTTGTGATTCTGTTTCCTTCCAAAGCTTAATCGTAATATAAATACTCTTTTTGGTATTTATATACCAAACACCCTCACTGTATTACATTCAACTTTCAGCTATGATAAAACACTATTATACCACAGTACAAACAAGTCAAATGAATCCCTTGAATTTAGTTGTCAGCTTTTTCGGAAAGGAAGTGGAGTTTTTTATATTTTTTTTTTTTCAAATGAGGACTTGTGATTCTATTTTTTTCCAAAGCTTAATCGTAATATAAATGCTTTTTTCGGTATCTATATACCAAACACCCTCACTGTATGACATTCACCTTTCAGCTATGATAAAATGCTCTTCGAAAAAAAAAAAAAAGGGACACAAAATCAGAATAGAAGCATCTAGAAAGTTCCTCACCCGAACACTACTTGTGGGGCCACAACTGCACCATTGGTCAAATTGAGAGAAACTGAATCTTTGACCAGTACACCAAGTGACGAACCATAGTCAGCATAATCAATCTTATAGTCACATTGCTCGTTCGGGTCCCTACAATCAGGGATATTGGTCCCCTGAAGGGAAGTACATACAGGATGGGTGCATGATATTAGATTGCTTTTAGGCTTGTAGAGACTGTTAGGTGCCTGAGGAATTTAAAACAGAGAAGAAAACAAACAGAACACATTAACATACAAAATAAGCATTAGTCTGAACCACTTAAAAAAAAAAAAGGCATTCGATGATGGGATAAGTTACCGGAGTGCATTGTGCGCAAGGTGCATCACATTGAAGCCAAGTAAGATCACTGCCTGTATCTATATCAAGAAAATATTTCTTCGAGGGATGGCCAAAGCTCATTGTCACGTAATAGTACCTACAGTAAAAAGAAAATTACGGGTAAACACTTTATGAATGTAAGTGGGCGGATTATCTGAAACTGGATAAACACGAATCATAAACAGTAATAAGTTAACACTGAAAAGACACCAGTTTTCTGTCGAGTTATGCCCATTTGATATCATTGGCCACATAAACTAAAAGACTAGTTCTAAGCATGGTGAACGCCTCGAAGGGATTTTCCGAAACTGGCATGATCGAACGTACCCCAAATATTTTCTAAACCGGGAAGTGCATGCGAATATCTAGTTTTCGAGAGAATGGGTTTTGAGCAGTCACAAATAAGTATCAAACTTAAGATTCTTGGAAGGATACCAACTTCTAAGTAACATAACAAGCAAATTAACACTACAACAACTTAATCAAGAACAAGAAAAAAAAATCCTGAAATTCAAAGTTCATCCCAACATCTCTAAATCAATAGGAACACTTAATCTCAATCACATTCACCCGGGGAACAGTAGGCAGTAGCTTACCAAGAAAACACAATAACACAGCTAATTAAACAGATTGTAACCAACAGATAACACACAAACACTCCTCAAGATCAAATCAATATTACAAACAGAAAGAGAAGGAAAAAAGCCGTATTATACCCTTGAGGATAAACACTCCCAGAGACCGGAAAAATGACAGAGGACCCAGAAAGTCTGCCGGATTTCAGCTGCTTCTGAGGCTGATGAGCACCAATTGCAGCCCACATCAGAAGGTACAACACCAATGCTTCGAGGTACACCTTCCGATGCATTCTCACGAGCCACCGCCGGCGAATTTTGATGCTGGAAAAAGGGGGATCCTTTTACAAAGCAGTTGACAAAGGCGAAAAAAAAAAGTAGATTTGGTCGCTTGGGAAAAAGTGAAAAACGAATCAGAAGAAAGCAAAACGTGTAGAAAAAAGACTCCTTTTTTATTTGATTTTTTTTTTTTTATTTTAAGGAAAACAAAATCCTCGTTGTGGGTTTTGAAGGAAATTTGTTCAGAGGGACATGGGGGAAAGAAAGTATTTGCATCGCCATGAAAATCCCACATAAATTTTCATCTTCGTGCTGGTTCTTGGAAGTTTCAACCTGTCTCTTTACGCGGCGTGAGATGAAAACGACGAGCGCGTTTTGGACTAATACCGACTGAGAGACGGATAGCAGGCGAACTTTTTGGGAGATTCTACTTTTCGTTACATAATCGTTCTGTCGGAGTTTGTAATCGATATATCAACTATCCACGGTAGTTACATGATGATTTAACGATTACAAATCTTGATTGAATGGTTTTGTAATGAGACGGTAGCATTTCTATTTTTATTTTTACATCATTCATTTATTTAAGGTTTATTCATGATTTTTTTTTTTTTTTTTTTGGTACAACATGATTTTTGAATCATCACATGTTTGCCAAAGTCTTTAAAAATATATATATATTAAATAAAAAGAGAAAATTAGATCCTTCACCTACAAATTTTTGTTATTCGCACATTTATGTTGTTTTTTTAATTATTATTATTATTAGAAGTATATATACTAACTTTTATGGTTTATGCATTGAGTTATAATTTTACTATTTTTTAGTTTATAACTTTGTTTTTAATTATAAATATACTTATTTTGAATAGTTGGTTTGTGGTTTATTTTTTTTTTTATCAATTTTTGATTTTTTTTTTTATAGTTTAGGACTCATTTATGTATGATTTATTTTAATTTTTTTTATTTGTAAAATATTTTTAAAAAGTGTAGTAATATATACAATGGCTTATGCAATAGTCAGGAATTCTTGACGATATCGAGCTGGAACAACATATTCTTCCTGAATATCCTGATTCAACGCCAAAGAATTTCCAGCCGATAACATATAGTACGCCAATACTTTTTCTCAAAGACTAAAAGGAGAGATGTCGAAAACGCATTTCGGAGCTCGAGACAAGGAAGAGGTTTAGGAAGAAAAGGCTCAGAGAATTGGAATAGACCGTTGAGGCGTTGAGCATTTATCGAAAGTACAATATCTCCGGTTACTTCAGTATAAGGGAAGCCACCATAGTACACGGCTGAAACAAAAAAAAAAA